CCTACCCTCTTAATAAATCCTTGTTGTGGAACACATTTTTCATTCACGATAGCACGACAAATTTGTGAAGGGTGTGGTCCCACCTCAAACTTTAGGAAATCAACTCTCGGGCAATAGACAACTTTGAGCACCCGAGCACCAATCTATCAGGTTTTCGGCCAGTTTCCCTTAGAAACTGACCAATTCTCTTCTTCTTTTTGATGGGGGGAAAAGAAGAGAATTTCCTGCCGGTTGCTAAAAAGAAATTGACCAATTCTCTTCTTGATGATGAAAAAGGTAGAGCTCCTGTCAGTTGCTAAAAAAAGAACCCTTCACGTTTGACGCGTGAGCATAGCCAATTAGAAAAGCTCAGTATCTATGAATCCTAGACGCACAAAGACGTTTGGTTTATGGGTGTATATACACCCTATATGCAAAAATAAGTAATTAGATAAAAAGTAAAAAAAAAATGAAAACATTTTTGAAATAAACTTGACCTTCCATTGTACTCCCTCTATCCCATAATGTAAGGCATTTTTTGACCCTAGTGTAGTGTCAAAAAACGTCTTACATTATGGGACGGAGGGAGTACTTGTGAAAAATTTCATAAAAAGAAAAAGGCCCTTTGACTTCTTCAAAAAGACAAAACCTCTGCCAAAAATAGTGCGAATAGTGACCTATAATAGCAAATAACTTTTTCCCCTAAAGTCAGTGCTGGTTTAGTGCAAAAGAAAGTCAAGTTTATTCTATAAAACTTCAGATTGTTTTGACTTTTTTATTTAAAAAAATCCCATATAGAGTGTAGATACAACCAGAAACCAATGGGTATTTCCCTATCTTAGACCTCCTATTCTTATACATTTTGTCTTTTTTTTTTGAGGATTCTTATACGTTTTGTCATTCTTGGAGATCAAGCAAGGATATCAAACAGGCCAAGGGGCCGCGCATCAATCGGCTGTGAAGGGGCCCATTTCCGGCCCTGTTTGCTGAGTTGCTCTAGTCCACAACCCTAGCCCACCAAATGCAGGCCTTTTCCTCCATCCTCACTGCGGTTAGCGACTCGAGTCTGCGGCGAGTCCATCCTCTTGCATAAACCAGACCGGTCTCCTCCCCCACCTTTCCCAACCCAGAGCGCGCGAACTCGCCACCGCCTCGCCGGAAATGGCGCCCTCCCTCGCTCACCTCGTGTGCCTCCTCCTCCTCCTTCTCCTCCTCCTCTCCGCTCTACCCCTCTCCGCAGCCGCCTCGACCCCCCGGTCCGCGCCGCCGTCGGCGCCGCCCACCCCGCTCGTCCCCGCGCTCTTCGTCATCAGCGACTCCACGTCCGACGTCGGCACCAACAACTACCTCGGCACGCTCGCCCGAGCCGACCGCGAGCCCTATGGCCGGGACTTTGACACCCACCGCCCCACCGGACGCTTCTCCAACGGCCGCATCCCCGTCGACTACCTCGGTGCGTCGCTCGCGACCTCTCGCTTCTCTCGGTTTCTCCATGGATTGGTGCGGGTGCGCTGCTGGTTTCTCGATTTTACGCGTCCTTGCTTGCAGATACGGATCGTTTCGGTTTATTAGGTCTCCATGGTTCATCGTGATTACGGATGATTGTTTGCTTCTTCTCCTTGATTGTTCCGTGTAATCTTCTGTCGCTGCTGTGGTCTGAATCCGCAGGAATATGGCAGCCCCATGTGACGTTCCTAGTTTCTCTTCTCTTGATTTCTGACCCCTTCTGTTGTACCACAGCGGAGAAGCTGGGGCTCCCCTTCGTGCCTCCGTACCTCGAGCAGAGCATGCGCATGGGCGTCGGCGGTGCTGGCCTCAGCAACATCGGTGGAATGATCCAAGGCGTCAACTACGCTTCCGCGGCAGCCGGCATTCTCTCCAGCAGTGGCTCTGAGCTGGTATGTTCTCCCACCGCTCCCGCCAACTCTGCGTCAATCTCATAACGTCCTGGTGCTGTCGAGAGATCTGTTTGGGGATGATTCTGCTGTCAATCTGTGGTTTCCTCACACCAAATTTGATGCTAATCGGCTGGGGTTTTTGCGATTTGGTTGCGCTTGCAGTGGATGCATGTGTCGCTGACCCAGCAGGTGCAGCAGGTTGAGGACACATATGAGCAGTTGGCGCTGGCTCTTGGGGAGGCAGCTACAGTCGACCTGTTCAGGAGGTCGGTGTTCTTTGTGTCGATCGGGAGCAACGACTTCATCCACTACTACCTGCGCAATGTGTCAGGCGTGCAGATGCATTATCTCCCATGGGAGTTCAATCAGCTCCTTGTTAATGCAGTGAGGCAGGAAATCAAGGTGTGCTTCTTGCTCCTCAGTTTGTTCTGTGTACCATTGCTCGCCTCCTTTTTGATCACCAGTGTGCTGCGCATTGTTTTACTTGTGGAGATGCACCACGCGTAGTCAGGGATCTCTGTAACTACGAATTTCGTTTTGGACATAACGTAGTTTATCTGGGAAATTAACACATGAAAGTGATTTAAATGAATGAGGTTTCCTTGTTGGTTTGCAGTTCTAGAACATTAACGCCTTCACCTATGGTTTACATACTAATTGTTCTTACTGTCGAATTTGGGGTTATTTCTTGCAATATTGCACAAGTATTGCAATTGCAAAATGTTTCAGACTGATGTTAGATGCGGCATTTTGATAAAATATGAAATGAAAATGGTTGGATTGATGATCCTGATTCTACAATGAGGTGTAATGGTGTTTAGTTAGTATGTAAGGGTATGTTTGGATGGTAGCCAAAAACTTATCTCCATTTTTTTTTTTGCATGCCACTAGCTCTTTACCAACTCTAGTTCATTTTTCTTTCCAACATTGGCCAACTCATGGACAAGCACAACTTTGACCAAAATTTTGGCCTAACTTTTTGGTAAGGCAAACATGGGCTCAAACCAAACTGACATTATACTGTCTTAAAACTTTTTTTTCTCTCAAATGCACACTTAAATGTGTGTTGTTGTATATTAGAAGAAGGCATCATGATGACGCAAAGTACAAAGCAAATACAACCCTGAAAAGCAAAAGTCCTAAATTATTGAAAACGAAGCAATACAAAGGCAGCCCAACTGAAAAACTGAAACTGCACAAGGTGCTACTCATGCTACCTGAGCTACACCACAGCATACTATCTTAAACTGTGGTATATTCTGAAATGCTCAGGCTGCACTTTTTTTTTTGTGCTACCATCTGTTTTAGGTTCAAGTTAAGTCTGTTGTACTTTCTGAGTTCATGGATGGAACCCTCGTTCTAGGATGCAGTGTTTTACCTGTGGAACTTGATGTATTTTCACTGGTCTGTAATTTCTGGCGCTCATGCTTGATAGTCGTGTTTGATCTGCCTGCGTGCTGTTGGTTCCTGGTAGTTGCTTTACCTGTATGCTTGCAGGTTTAGCTTCCTGTTTTGTGCCTTTTATGTTTCTCATACTCTGTACAACTGTGCCAGTTTCTTTAATGGAAATCGATGAGGAGGCTCGTTGCCTCAAAAGAAAAAGAAAAAGTATGTTGTACTTTCAGCTATAACTGTATAACACCTTGCACATTTATCTCGCTGCATTGAACTGTTCATGATCTGACCATGGTTCAAGCATGCTTCTCAGTTCATGTGTCATGGATCATTTGATTCTCTATGCCTAATTTATCTCTGTTACCTAATCTTAAGCAGAACATGTGATGCATGGTGATTGAAGATGCATATACCAGTAGTTTGTTGTATGTAGAAATTTTCTTTGTGTTCATTCCATAATCTCATTTATATGCTGATGCAAATTGTAATGGATTGCTTCGGTTCTTTATTCTTCGCAATACCGTAGCAAATTAATTGCCATTTTGCATCCATTACTGTTTAGTTCTATTTGTGGTTCTTGTCAGATTACTCCACTTTTGATGTCTAAACTAGTTGTGGACTCATGTGTCTCCTACTACCTTCTGACAATGATGATTTATGCAGAATCTGTACAATATCAATGTTCGAAAGGTCGTGCTGATGGGCCTTCCTCCTGTTGGCTGTGCCCCGCACTTCCTTTCGGACTACGGCGGCCAAAATGGGGAATGCATCGACTACATCAACAACGTCGTGATCGAGTTCAACTATGGACTGAGACACATGTCAAGTGAGTTCATCCGCCAGTACCCAGACTCGATGATCAGCTACTGTGATACATTTGAGGGGTCAGTGGACATACTAGAGAACCGTGACCGCTATGGTGAGTAAATGCATCATTAGTACTGCATTTAAATTGAGTGCCGGTTCGCAACTGTAACATTTGTAGTACATTTAAATGGAGTGCTAAGTCTTCTCATTTTGGTGGAATTGCAACTGCAGGCTTTCTGACCACCACTGATGCTTGCTGTGGGCTTGGCAAGTATGGCGGGCTATTCATCTGCGTTCTTCCACAGATGGCGTGCAGCGACGCGTCAAGCCATGTGTGGTGGGATGAATTCCACCCGACCGATGCTGTGAACCAGATCCTGGCAGAAAATGTGTGGTCTGGTGAGCACACCAGGATGTGCTATCCAGTGAACTTGCAGGAGATGGTGAAGCTGAAGCAGTAGAACCAACCTGGATCGTCATTGCAGTTACTTGCTCAACTTCTGTGTTTTCATTTTTGACAAAGAACTTCTGCGAGTGGGACAGTGAAATGTATATCGAGAATCACGGAGTTCAGTAGTCAAATTTTGAGTGAAATGTATATCGAGTCACGAAGTTCAGTAGTCAGATTTTGACAGTTCAGGTTAAATGCACGTATATTTGCCTCTAAATGTACCGTGAAGAATCTATATGGTCGAGCTGTTAGATATTGCAAATGTAAATATGAGAGTGATCAGCCCATTCGGTGACAAAAAAAATTGCCCAGCTGTTGAGCTGATGTGTTCCATTTCTCACTGCACATTCTGCTATTGCAGTTTCTGCTACAAAGCGGTGTTTCATAATCCAAAAATTTGTACTGTGAGCATGGTGCTGTATGCCTGAGACTTGGGAGGTCAGAGTCACAGATGCTTGTGCCGATGGCTGCTACAACTCTTCGTCGCCGGCTCCAGAGTAGACAACAAAGCTGGGGAATGACATGGTTATGTCCCTGCATCACAAGATGCTCAGCTGTCAGTCAAGAGTGATGTTCTCAGGCATTGTTTTCCAAAGCTGAAAAATATAGAGCTACTTACTTCAGGTATGGGAGAGTCATGTTCTTCAGCAAGGCTGGATTCTTACTTGCAAACTCTTTCCATTCGTCGGGATCTATCCTCCCGTCGCTGTTCAGGTCTGCCTGCTTGAATGTCTGTCACAATATAAGTTAGCATAAATGTATGCAGAGTGGTAATGCTTCTTGGGCAGCAACATTTCATCTGCATGTGGTGTATGTACCTGATCTACAATCTGTTCGACGGCATCATCAGAAAGAAGTAGGTCCGATTCGTTCAGGATTGCAAGCACCATTTCCTTCAACTGCATGAACGGCCAGTTTCAGTAAGTGCTCGAACTGTCAAATTGTAAAGGTAGTATGTGTGCTATAGTTGGTGCATATAATGGGTTTTGTGTTATTTTTCCAGTGAAACAAAATGTACTGACAGAGCTCAAGGATAAGCATTTAAATCGGCAAATCTAGTGTGTGGTAGTATGTTAAAAACATCTTGTAGTAGTATATTCAGTTGACAAGATTATGTGCAGAATAATTCATTTCAGTACAAAAAGATACAGACCTCTTCACGTTCAATGCTGCCGGTGCCTCGCAGGTCATATAGTCTGAATGCAACTGCGAGAAGGAATCCTTCAGATGTCAGATAGGAGAAGCATATATGGACAGAAGTCCTCCCAAATATATATACCAGGCTACTGCTACTTGAATTGCACCCAGAATTTATGAAATACCAGTCATTTCTTAAAACATTTACACACGCAAAAAGATTGGGAGAAAAAGGCAGGCTTCATACATGCAATCTTGTCTGCCATGGGTGTATCCGGGTGAAAAATGTGGAGGGACCGAACAAACTCCTCGAATTCAATCACGCCGTTTCGCTTCAGATCAAACAGATCAAATATCTGCACCAGTCGAACACACATGTAAACAAGTTGATCTGATCCGAGATATTTGTGCATAAGTTTGGGACAATTTTACAGTCCCACAGATAAATAGACTGACCCGATCGGCGAAAAGGTTCTTCCGGTTGCTGTTCCTGAAGAGAGCAAGTTGGAACTCCTCCTGTTGAAGAAAATGGCAGTTTGCAAATTGGCGCTGATTAGAGTTTGCAGAAGGAAACCACATGGTGAATTTGCTGTGTGACTAAAAGAAGATGATGAGCAAGACAAGATAGATACCTTGTGAATAAGGCCATCCTTGAATATAGAATAGCTAATCTTTTTGAACAGCTCGTAGAGGGCCTCCACTTCATTCAAGGAAACTGCGTGCATTTGGGGAACAAATTAGACATTAAACGATGGCAAAAAAGCTTATGGACTCATTTTTGTACTGAATAGATCACCAGGAAGAAAAACAGAAGCTAGGAGTTCTCACATGTGGTCTCTTTGGCCAGGAGAGCCGCATCCTCATGCGGTGGAGCTCGTCTGAACTGCTTCGATGATACACAACCCATACAGACCAGCTCACAAACCAAGCCTTTTTCTTACAATTACCAACCGTCTTTCCGCAGAAAGGGGATGAAGAAAACACACCTAAGACAAAAGGGCAAAGACATTGGCACCAACACAAAGCCAATCTATTATAAAATTTTACCTGGAAAAAGGGAAATCCGGCGAGAGCGAAACAGCCAAGAAACAACAGGGAAACACCAAGACACAAAGCTCACCTGGGAACCAACAAACAAAGGATGCTTATGCTTTGTTGGATCCACACTGGTAAAGATCTGCAGGTGGCTCGGGAGAAAGATGGACGGCTCCAAGCTTATGGCTGATGCGACGGGGAAGGAGGAGCTAGAAGAAGGACACCATATATTTATGCGCGTGCACAGCAACAGCCAACAGGGACCTACTACGTCACAAGTGCGGCACAGAATATTGCAGTGCTGACAGGTGACAACACACGGGACAAGGCGAGAGTTGACTTGCATGCGGCAGCATCCTCACGCAAATTTTCGTGTTTTGACCCTTTTCTGAAACCTATTCAAGATTTGCCTCTAGTTTAATTTTTTTTTTGAGATCTGACCCTTTTGCTACCGGCAGAGTCCATGGCGGTAGGGTCTAACAGCCTACCGCCAAGGACTTTGCCGGTAGGAAACATCGCTAACGCCAACCGGGCTGGCGGTAGCCTGCACAACCTTACCGTCAAGATGCTTGGCGGTAGGCACGAGCACGCACTGTGTTCAATACTTAAGAGGTTTTTGGCGGTAGAGCATGCAACCCTACCGCCAGGGATCTTGACGGTAGGCTGTTATACCCTACCGCCATGGTCCCTGGCGGTAGCAAAAGAGTCAGATCTCGATTTTTTTTCAAACTAGGGTCAAATCTCGAATAGGTTTCAGAAAAGGGCCAAAACACGAAATTTAACCACATCCTCACGTCTATGCATTCCCTCTTTTCACTATGGAATACAGGCCATATAAGTAGCACTCCATCCGTTTCAAATATTTCAAGTTCTACTAGGTTCCTACTATATGTACTCCCTCCGTCCGAAAATACTTGTAATTCATTTCTCCGACAAGTATTTCCGGATGGAGAGAGTATTTGATGTTGTGGATATTAGTAGTAATTTTTTCTATAAACTTGGTTAAACTTAGGAAAGTTTAACTTACGACAAACCCAGGACTTCAAATATTTTGGAAAGGAGGAAGTAATGTGTTAAGACATCAACCACGAGGGCAAGAATTGCTAGAACCACTGTCAAACAAAAAAAAGGGGAAAAAAGAGAGAAAGAATTACATATACCATTGTTAAACAAAAAGAAATGAAAAGAAATAATTGCTTGTTACACTAGGCTTGGCCTCCCTACCCAAGATGTTTACAACCACCATGAGTTGAACTGCTCGATATAAAAATTGTCAATGTCGGCTTGTATCTATCAAAAGCGTGGGTGACGCGTGCTGTTTTGTTTGGGTTATAAGATGGGGAGAAAATCAGTTTGTATAATCTGAGGGAAAAGAAAAGGCATGTATGTATGTGCAGTACAACTGTGCTACTCCCTCCGCTCTAAAATAATTGAAATTCCAGAATTGTCTTAATTCAAACCTTTAAAGTTTAACCAAGCCTAAAATATCCGCTAAGATGTACAATGTCAAGTTTTTTTTTATGTTGTACTCCTACATGTTAATATATTTTAATATAAACTTGATCAAACTTATTTTGAAACGGAGGGAGTGACAAAGAATGTTTAGTTAGTCCTGTCAGCTGCACCGAGAAGTCCTCGACACTGACGAGCTATGATGGTTACGTATGCCTAGTGCAAATTCATTAGGTGGGAGAGATATCTTCTTCTTTTTTCCAAAATGGAGACATAAGCTTTACCTCATCTATTTTACTTTTTCGGTTTTTCATTGTCATGATTTTTTTCCAATTGTGAACATTTTTATTCATCAAATCCAAAAAAATTTCACTGAATTTAAAGATGTTCATCAAATTCAATTTTTTTCATCAATTTCAAATTTTTTTCATAAAATATAAAAGATGTTCATCAATTTTTTCTCGATTTTTTTTCATGAAATTCAAAAAGAAAATCTTCGGATACAATAATTTTTCATGCAATTCAAAATTTGTTCATCAAATACAAAATATTAATTTTTAGAAATTTGCGAACATTTTTTAGAACCAAGGAGCATTTCGTGAAATTTATGAACGTTTTCACAAATTAGTGAACCTTTTTGTGAAGAATGTTCTAAATTTGTGAACATTTTTTGAAATATGGGAACATTTTTTAAGTCATGAATATATTTAAATTTGTGGGTTTCTTAAAATTATGACATTTTCAACATCCAGAATTTGCGGTAAATAAGCAAAATAGAAAAATAAAGAAAAAGGAAAAAAGAAAACGAGAAAATAGAAAAACAAAAAGGGCGCCCCGCCCCGCACACGGATCGGCCCAAAAGGGCTCGCGTGGGGAGCGAGGGGTGCGCTTTTTAGCTCTTTCTATAATTTTGGGAAGCTTCTAGATGCTTCTTGTTTGGTTAGTTTTTTGGTTTTCTATGTTGGTTTTTGTTTTGTTATTTTAAATTTGTGGGCATTTGTGAACTTGTTTTCAAAAGCCATGCATGTTTTTAAATTCTCATTTTTTTTGAAACTTACAATAGTTTTCCAAATGCACAAACATTTTCAAATCCGTGAACTTTTTTTAATCCGTAACTTTTTTTCAAATGCATTAAGGTTTTCAAATACACATACTTTTTGAAATTTATGATTATTTTTCAAATTCATGAAATTTATAAAACTCACAATTCAAAATGCATAAAGTTTTTTTCAAATTCGTGAATCCTTTTTCAACCACACGAAACTTTTTTCAAATCCGTGAACCTTTTTCAAATACACAAACTTTTCCTCAAACCTACAATTTTCTTTTAGAGAAGTGAACGGTCAAGGTGGCCTGTGAGCTGGTTCCAAAATAAAATTGAAACGAGCAGAGGCAACTAGCGAGAGAGAGATGGGCGAGCGAAGGGAGTGTTAGTGGGCCTCGATCCAGAACATCCATTAGTGGGCACGAGGGACCGAAACTGGCACAAATTAGTTTAACTCCAACACTGTTCATCAAATGAACGACACAAAATGTGCACGAACATGTGTGAAGCAGACTCCCCAGACACCAACCACCATCCAATCATAGTTATCAAATCCGAACAACAGAAGTGGGCCAGACAGACCTAAAGAAAAAGGCACATGGGCCGTGAGGACATGTGGTCCAATTGTCAGTGGGCCAAGTTGATTGTCCGGACTCCTCCAGAGCTCACTTAGTTTTTTCCCATCCCTAAAAAAAACCTAGTTTTTTTCAAGTTCGGGGACTTTCAATGTCCGGGCCAAATCCTATTCGGCGCCTTTTGCGCCCGATACTGTTCAATCTACTAACGGGCGCACACCCCTCGTCACGTCTGGGCCGGCCCATTTTTCTGTTTCTAAGAAGCAAAAACAGCGCGAGATCTGGGATTCGAACCCGCGACGAGCTGGCAAGTGTAAGTCGGGACAACCACCAGACCACTTCTCATGTTGTGATTATGTGTATGTTTTTCCTTCTTTTCTTCTTCCTCCTTTCTTTTTTTTCTTTTTTCTGTTCTTTTATTCTTTATTTTTCTAATTCGAGAAACTTTCTTTCTTCATGATTTTTTTCTGCAAAATTGATGAACGTTTTTCAATTTTTGATGAACTTTTTCAAATTCAATGAGTTGGCTTTGTGAACTGTTTTCCAAATTCGATGAACTTTTTCAAATTTTGATGAACTTTTTTGAAATTCCATGAACTTTTTTTCAAATTCAGTGAACTATTTTTCATTTTTGATGATTTTTTTTTTCAAATTTTGATGAACTTTTTTCAAATTCACGAACTTTTATTGAAATTTGATGAACTTTTTTCAAAATCAATGAAGTTTTTGCAAATTTGATGAACTTTTTTTCAAGTTCGATGAATTTTTTTCAAAATCAATGAACTTTTTTCAAAGTCGATGAATGTTTTTTCAAAATCGATGAACTTTTTCAAAATTTATGAACTTTTTTGAAAATCGATGAACCTTTTCCAATTTTGATGAACTTTTTGAATTCGTCAATGTTTTTTGAATACATGAACTTTTTTTTTTCTAATTCGTGATGTTTTTTAAAATCTGTGGACATTCGAAATTTGTTTAGATTTCTTTTCAAAAGAAATCCCATTTTTCTCAAGAGCGCGGCTAAAATATAGTTGTTAGAAGTTCCGCGTTGCAATCATTATGGAATGGCTTTATTGGTCTAGTGGTTAGCCAACCATGCGCAGGAGCTTAATGGTGCGCGCTGCTGATGTTGGGTGCCTCCCATTGGATGGTTAAAAGTGTCAATTCTTAGGAGGAGTCCAAAGTTCCAAAAATGCAAAAACTCGTTGTAGTGCAAACTTGATAATTTTTTCAATCGGTGTATCTGCTAGGCGAGTTCAGTTTAGAATTTGTGGGTTGCTGCACTTTCGTCGGTATTTCAAAACTTGCACATACGGCACTATCTTGAGATAATTCCTTATTTAACATTGTCTTAAAATTTGTTGCCCTATTTAACACCGAAAAACTTTTCCTTCCTTATTTAACATAGAGTTTAAATTTTATGCCCTTTATAACACTTTCGTCCATTTTAAACCATAACGGTGTTAAATGACACATGAAAAAACCTATTTGCCCTTTATGTGATATTTAACCAAACTTTATATGTACGTGTGTATCTGGTCGACTCGTTTTGCGTTGGCCTTGGTCCCGACCTCGACCTGGACCTTTTGATGGCGTTATAGCCGGGTGTTTTCCAGCGTACAGGCATACGAGGTTAGCTCAAATACTTTCCGAGGGTTCCGCGTATACACCAAGAAACAAGTAGGCAGGCAGGTGGATCGATTCTAGTTGGACGCGTACTGCTAAAATGTAATAGATGAAGTTAGCTAGCAGCCGATCTCTCCCTTGATCATTTCTACGTTCGTTGCCTAGCTAAAGCTA